GGACTGGGCATGAGATTGTCCCATGTAATGTGCCAAGGGAGTCCATTTGCTTTTGTTGCCAAGAGAAGGGGCATTGGAGACGCAGATGCCCTGTTTACCTGAGAGATCTAAGAATTAGGAGAGTCAAGACGTATGGCTCTACTTCACGTAAAATCCATTAACTAACTCTATAAGTTCCTATTTTTGATCCTTAATACATGATGTGATAAGATTACATTTTCATGTTTTGTAGGATCGAAGAAAAGAAAGGAAGCTTAAGTAAGAAGCGTGTTGAATCTGATCACGAAGAAATGGATTTTGATCGCATGGATTCAAAGATCGGATTTTTGAGCTGCTACTTTAGAGTTAGGGTAGATTGCTAAGAAATATGTAATAGCATAGTTTTTCAGTTGAATTGCATTGTAAGGACAAGTTTTTCCGCAATAAAATAAAATTTTGATTTTATCTTATTTATTTATCCTTGCAATGACATGTATGAAAAATTTATTTTTTAAGGTTTCTATTATTAGCAATAATGGATTTGATTCTTAATTATGTTATTTGTGGAAATGTCGAGAATTTACCAAATAGGGAGAGTTTATCATCGCCCAAGTCTCAATTGGTTAGAAACTTGGAATCATACAACTTGGTTGCGTGATAAATGAGAAACTTCATATTTGGAAATTAGACTAACTCTTTGACAAAGTGTCAAGTGAAGGACTAGGAGATCGAATACACTAGGTTGTGCGTCGATCAAGTCTACCACAAGAGTGACAAAATATATTCTTCATGATTTACTAAATTTTAGTAAATATGGTTATACTTATAAGAGTGAGTATAATTCTGAGTTGATTGGAAGAGTTTTAATCAATAGCAGAATGAAAAGCAAGAATCTAGTAGGCAGAAAGATAAAAGTTTATCTATTCTAAGAAGAAGGGAGAGTAACGTTTATTGTGTTTTTATGATAAGTCTTAATGATTAAGAACCATGTCTCAATTGATCCTCTAAGCGAGTCTTAGTGCAATTACATGCCTAAGAAGAGGAATCGAGAATTGTAGAAATGGTTAAATCAAGAAGTCAATCATACTTCGTCTTAGAGTCAAGATTGTGACTTGAGTGAAAGATCTTAAGTAGGTTTGTAATACTTATCAAATGTAGAATAGGAAAGTTTCTTATTTATGTACATTTGAAATTGGTAAGTTGTGATGTCTTGGATAAGACAAAGACCAACTAGGACCAATTTAGTGAAGTGTTAAACTTGATAAGAAGCTACACTAACTCTTGAATATTTGTTTTGTCAAGAAATGTTTCTCGACAAGAGAATCTTGTATGTCAAGGAGTCAGTGGGAGTCTTAAATGTCCTGCAAAGTTTCAAGAATGAACCTAGTTAATCATCACTAGCATATGACTTGAGGTTTACAACCTATCATGTTGACATAATTTTGCTTCTGTACCATTCCAGTTGAGTTAATTATGTATGTGAGCTCTATGAGTTCTCATTTGAATATATAATGGCAAGCACCTTGATCAATGGAAAGTACATTGATAAGTAAGGGTGGGCTGCTTAACAACCTGGAAGCAATGGTGGGCGCTTGTGCTGCCATGAGGCAAGAAATTAAGACTGAACAAGTTTAGTCCATACAAGTTTGAATTGTCGCAAATCTTGGTTTTGAAAAAGTTCATATGGATAGGAACACATACACTTTTAAATCTAAGTGTCCTAAGATTCCCTCCTTCATGAAAATGACTGTGAGGAAATGCTTTCACTGAGAGAGATTTTAAGAAGATAGCAATTGTGAAAATTGTATTCTCAAATTTGATTATGGTTATGACATACCTTTCCATAGTTCGAATTGTGAGATTTGACAATTAGTCTAACATTTGAGACTTATTGATATAAGTTCTGAATTGTTTAGATATATAGAGCTATCTAAGGCAAAGGTGTATAAGTTTAAGAAGCTTAGATAAAGGCTTATCGAAGCATCTGTATTAGAAATATGAACTTCAGAAATTCAATAGGCATTGTTTTCTGGAAGTTCAGCTATTTTCAGAAACATCCCAAAAATACGGTCCAAAATTTCATATTAGAATCATTTAAGAAAAACCATTATTCATCAAACATCACAATAAAGATCATAAGTCATGTATCTCAAATCATCATAACAAAATATTGTATCAAAATCATGTGTCAAAATATCAGAGTCTAAACATCCCGTGTTGAACGAATGGTGTGTACACTTCAATCATCCGAGCTCTTCCCTTTGCTAACAGAAGTACTTGAAACCAAAAATGAAAACTGTATGCGTGAAGTTTAGTGAGTCTCCCAAAACTACCCCACACTCAAGGAGATATAGGCCTCCGCCCACACTCGACTAACTATGAGATACGGGCCTCGCCCACACTCAGTTATCTTAGAGATACGGGCCTCGCCCAATCTTTGCTATCCGGGAGATACGAGCCCCCGCCCACACTCCGCTAACTAAACATACATACAAGTATCACGCAAACAAGAAGTATAACCATAATCTACTAATTCATAAACATACTCAGATAATACTAAGATACGGGCCTTGCCCACACTTAGCTACTAATCATAAGCGAGTCTAAGATACGGGCCCAACCCACACTTAACTACTAATCATAAATAATTCTAAGATACGGGCCCAGCCCACACTTAGTGACTCTAAACGGGCCGACATTGGTGCATTCGACCCGTTACTACTGAAGGAAACTCACCTCGTAAGCTAACTGTGAAGTCTCGCGTGAGGAAACTCTGACAGCTGCTCCAACAACTCCCCGACTATCATTACCACAAACACTTAGTCAGAAACTAATAATTCTTCTTAGGGTTAATGTGACAACCCGAAATTTCCTTTCTGTACAACATATCAAGTCAATAGAAGTCAGAAAAGTTACTGTTAATTTTCAGACTTTTTGGGATAAGTTTGAGTATTCTATGATTAACACTTTAGAAGATACCAGGAGAGAGGATGACCTAGGGTTTATTGTGAAACAATAAGATTTTGTAACTCCAAGAAATTGGAGTTTACGACCCAAACATGGAGTTTGCGGTCGTAAACCCCAAGGGGTATATATATGGCCCTTAGCCATTTTTAGTCATTTGTTCCATTGTCAACTAGAGAAAAACTCGATTCTCTCCTAAGGATCTTCAGTCTTTCGTCCCAAATCGTAAGTGCTTCTATCTTAGAGTATAATAGGTCTTGTTATATGTCTATACATCAAGAAATCATGAGGAAACATCAAGATCAAAGAGTTTACGGCCCAAGAACACCTTGGACCGAAAACCCTTCTTTAAGGGCCAAAAGTGTGCCCTAGTCCCTTCCTTTCCTTGTGAAACTAGCCTAGACTCATACCTTAATGTGTATAGGACTTGAAAGCACAAAAATACCATGGTCCATATGAGATTACGGCCGCAAACCCAAAGGGAAATGGTCTTAGGGCCCTGAACTCTTCAAAGGAGGGAAATGGTGCCCTAATCTCTTCCAAGGACTTAACCATCAAGCATAAATACTTCTAAGGGACATGTATGGATTCAAAACATCAAATGGTCAAAGGTGTATGAGATTAGGGCCGTAAACTCATGCTTTTACGACCGTAAACTAATGTGTTGATGCTCACAAAACCGTAAACACCAAGAAGGGGTTCCTTGGAACCCTAAACCCAATAGCCTTGTCCTACATCAACATAGATGCAATCCTTGGGACTTATAACACTTATATAAGGTGTTTAGAATGTCCTAGGATGTCTTAACATTGTCAATTAGTAGTTTAAAAACTAATTGGATACTTATATGTGTGATTATATGTTAACTAGGATCTTTGAGTGTGTACAAGTCTTCACTTGACACCTAGCAATCCTACATCATTCAGTTCATCCAAACCATCATTTACAGGTGAGTTCATACCCCTTAATCAATGTTTTAAATGATTTTAAATGCTTTAATGGGGGGGGGGGGAATACAAGTTGAAAACAACATGTTATAGATTCAATCGCATGTGATTTATAACCGTGTTTTCAACCAACTGATTTCACATACTTCAAAATGTGATACATGAAAAGGTTTTCTGTCTTAAAATATTCTGTTATCAAATGAATTATTTTTGAAATGTTTTATAAAATGACATCAATTCATTGTTATTTATTGTTCAAAACTCTTAAATGTTTTACAAAACCTCTTGCATCTTCTTGATCAAAACTATATCTATACACTTATGTTCATAAATATATATATATATATATATATGTATACACACACACACATATATATGTATATATATGTAATGATATGTTATCTTTCATCCTTCATTCAGTTCCCACACTCTTGATTAGCAAGGGTGTATAAAACTTCTTGGGCATCAAATACATTCCAGTAAACTATTATAGGGATAGTTTAGGGGATAAAAAACATTCACTACAAGAAAATAGCCCTTTAATGACGCGCAAACAATGACACTCGTTGATAGACAACGCGCATTTGCAAGTGCCCTAAAAGATAATGTCAGTTTTGCAAAATTTGAAAGATAGAGGGCACGCATTTGTGCGCGCCCTAAAATTAGTGTCAGAAAAGAAAAATAAGAAATGCGGAGGGCGCCTTTCATAAAATGTGCATCATTTAAAGGTGTCGCTTTATAATTTTTAAGTGAAACACGCGTTTTAGGCGGGAAATGAAATCGATGAAAATTACCCCCGCCTATTGAACCCTAAAAATTAATCCCCCCGCCTCTTCTACTTAGCAAGAAAAAGCCCTAGGTCCCTCACCTTCATCTTCAGTATCATCAAACATCTCGTTCATCCTCTGCATTATTTCCATCGTTCTTCCCTCTCCTCACTGATCAATACCCAAAAAACCCTAATATCATAACCACTCGTCTTTTCTCGCACAACAAAATCCCAAAACATCACCAAATACTAAATTCCACAAAATCGTTGTGACCATTTTAGCTAGGGTTTTTTTCAAAAACGAAAACAATCTCGCATCTCTCTTAGCTCTGAAACAATGGATGATTCACCTTGCTTCACCTTTGGTCACTTCTCCTCCAGCGACGTCAGGCCTTCCTCATTACAAATTGACCAACGATAAGCTAATACTTATAACTGAATGGTTTCACTCTCAATTGGGTGTGCGACTCCTCCATCGCACTGATGACTACGAATGTGACTCTTCCACTACACCTGTGATTGCGTCCCGTCTCACCTCCCTGACCGCTACCTTAATAGGTTTATCTATTCAATTAGATTTTTCTTTTCAGTTAGAAATCGATTTCGTCGCCTCCCCAGCTCTTCATCTCTTCACTAAAATCTCTCTTCATCTATCCACTAAAATCTTCACGGTTTCTTTAATTTCACTCCAAGGGTTATTTGATAGCTTTTGTATGGTTTATTCCCTATACTGAATCGCTAGTCAAAACCATTGTGGTGGTTGTGGCGAAATCAAAATGCGGGATTGAACCATTGTAGCAGAGCGATCTTGAAACTTTTGATTAATACTTCTCAAGTCGTCTCCAAGGTAATGTGAACCTCTTGATACTTCTCATGTTGACTCTCTTTTTTTAGTATAGCTATCGTCTTTTAAAATTAGGCTTCTGTTTGAATCATTTCATTGAACGACAGGTGAATCAGACCATCTTCTCAATTTATTTGACATTGAAGAACAGTGCGTTGAATTTCTTTGTCGTGTCCAATTTATCTCGACCAGATCTCAAGCAGGTTTCAATCTTCGTCTCTATTGATGCTCTAACTTTTTTCCTTCAATGGAACTGTGGATTTTTATAAACACTAGCTTCTACATAAACCCCTCTTCTAACCGAGCTTGGAAAGACCACATGACTTTCCACATTTAAGAGTTCTTCCTGAAGATGTTAATTATTATTATTAAATATTACTCTCTTCATAATCAAATCATGCAAGAAAATGAAATTCCTTTTATTAATTTTTTTTTCTAATAACAGGGTGTTGCAATGCTTGATATTTCTAATTATGGATGAAGAGTTGATCATCATAGAGATATGCGTATGGATATTGATCATATGTCTTATGAGTATACAAAGATTGGCTTCTTTTTTAGTCAAATTACGAAATTGACCTTTTGTGTATATGCAGGAGCTTCTTGCATTAGGTGAGCAGATTGGGAATGCTGGATCAGGGTTATCAGAGGATTTTATTTCAGGTTATTTGTAAACAAGGGTATTTATGTCTTCTAAGTTGGAAGTTGTTTCATCTGCTGATCAAGAACTTAGTTTCTGCACAATTTGTCAGGTAAGGGCAAATTCGTAAAAAGTTAGGGAAAGAAAGTCTCATTTCTTGATTTTCATGCATGTGGTTTGCTTTCAACAATGGGACGCCTGAACGAGAGTCAAGTGTAATTTTCATGCAGGTGGTTTGCTTTTCAACATGATGATACGTGTAGCCGTAGAAAATCAACAAGGTGGTGTTGCTGCTATAGACCATGGGGAAATGCCAAATAATTTTAGTAAATTTATATCCTGTTTATGATGGTATTTATTTTTTATGCGTAGCGTAGTAAATAAATATATTTGTTTTTTGATATGATATTAGCATGTGGGAATAAAAGCTTGTACAATGACAGGGTTGAGTCTTTTGCAGCAGCTCTATGGAAATCTATTATAACTTGAAGTTGATTCAATTATTCCACTGTTTATGCAGCTTTCTTCAAACAGTTTGGCGAAATCCTGAGAATTAGGATAGCAACGAAAATTAGGATAGCTTTCTTCAAACAACTTTTTTAAAACATAGTCCAATTCACTCACCTGTTAACTTAAGTTTTTGTCAAATCTAATGAGGAGACTTGAACTTACTATCTATGAAAAATATGTATAGGTTGCAAACATTGTTGCTGAAACAATGCATAATTACCTTTTGTATGAGTATTTGTTGCAATTATAGCTTATCCCTCCAAAACGTGTTCATCCTAAATTGTATGTAGACATTTCAATATAATATTCCAGTCAAAGTTGTTGACTTGTACTTATGAACTTGTGTTTATGATTTCACCTGTTAACTAAAGTTTTTGTCAATTCTAATGAGGATAAATTTGTTGCTTTATTACACTATTATTGCTTATTTGATCATGGAAGTAGCAGGAACTTGCTAGTAATGATGAAGTCTTTTAGGTTTTTGGTTGTGATTCCACCTGAAAATGTAACATACTGGAAAGATTCCACGTGAATGAACCCAAATCTTATGCCAGCTGTCTTGCAATGCTTAATGGCCATTGTTCATCGTGCTTTTGAGACTGCATTATCATGGCTGGTGATTCTTTTTCTTATGAATTCCTTTATATTATGCATTTTTATTTTTATGTGTGGAATGTTAGGTGAATCTTGTAATGGATGCAGGAGGCTCAAATATGCGAGACAGGAGATGCTGCTGAGGTCAGAGAGTCAACTCTGGTTGTCCATGCTTGTTTTCTCATAAAGAGTTTGTCTGTTAGAGAAGAACACATTCGGGATGTATCTGTTAATCTGTTGTCTCAATTGAGAGAGAGATTTCCACAGGTAAACTGTTGACCTGTATTACAAATTTATGAGCTTTTATATGCTATCTCCTGTAAAAAATAAATTACATTACCTATAATGGTAAAAAGAGTAAATGATTTGCCCTTTACTTTAAGTAACATTCTATTGGGTGCAGATTCTGTGGAAATCATCTTGTTTGGATTCTCTTTTGTTCTCTGTGAATGGTGATCCACCTTCATCTCTCGTGAATGATCCTGCTTCAGTAGCTTCTGTTCGCTCTTTGTACCAAAGCGTTGTCAAGGAGTGGATTGTTGATTCGCTATCCTATGCTCCATGCACCACCCAAGGTCTTCTTCAGGTTTGTGACGTTAATGACCATATTACCCTTATATTCTAGACTGAACAAGCCTTTTAAATGAGACTTAATGACCATATTACCCTTGTATTCCAAAAAAACAAATTTCACAATATTCATCAATTTTAAATTTAACTCGTTAAGTCATTCTGTCCAGTTTAAGTAAAAAAAGAAACAAGCCTGTAGTCTCAAAAGGTTCACTTTGTTGTAGTTTATTAAGTCTAACAAACTGACTGTGTCCAAACATAAACATTTCAGGAGCAACTTTGTAAAGCAAACACATGGCAAAAAGCACAGAACGTTGTCTCTCTTTTATCTGAAATAAAAATAGGAACAGGGAAAACGGATTGTTGGAAGGGTAAAAAAACTGCCAACATTCCTGCAGTAATGGCATCTGCAGCTGCTGCATCGGGTGGAAATTTGAAGTCAACAGAGGCGTTTAATATTGAGGTTCTTAGCACTGCGTTGAATGAACATTGCAAATTCTAGATTGACGATGAACAATGGCCATTAAGCATTGCAAATTCTCAAATTTGATATTTTTGAAATCTCCAAGAACTTGATCTTTTCTGCTCACCAATTTTACTATTTAAAAAAAATTATTGCAGCCTGTTCACTTTGGATTTGTTGTTTCAAAGTATCTTCACGAATCTCTTAATTTGGGAGGAATCTCATGTATAAAATGCATAAGAGAAACGGAACACAAGCCCTAAAACTAATACAGGTAATCAATTATCTATTTCAATATTTTTCTAATCATTGTTGATTGATTCCTTTTTGTAATAAATCATATTTGTTGATGCAGAGCTACCCAACCAAAATTCCCTTGGTAATCGAATAAATTGTGGTTGGTAATGAAGTTTTTGCATACCCTTGTCAAGTGCTTGGATAGTAGTGACTGGACCCATATGGAAGGTGCCTCAGATACTTAATTTTTGTTTTTATTTGAACATTTGTTCTTTTTTACTGTTTCTTGATCTTATGCGGTGCTTTTATTTGTATAGTTATTTCAATCTCCACATGCCATGCATAATGAAGATGCCATGGAAGAATATATGTTCTTTGAACATTTGTTCTTTTTTACTGGGATGTGTTGACCAAGAAAGAAGCTAGGTATTTCAACAACGACAAAGAGTTAATGAAGTTGGTGGGCAACACTGGTGCAGGGCCTAATAATGTTTCTTCTGCATAACAAAAGAAGAACAAAGAAAGATCTGATGATATGCTCATGGAGATGAAGATCGGTTCTGCTAAAAAAAAGGTACGTTGAATTACTGATCATTGATTGATATTGGGGTTTGTTGGTCAAAGGAAGGTTTTTCTTTGGGCATTTTCTTCTAGATAGATGTTAGTACAGGGGTTTATGAATAAGGTTTCTTTGGTTTGGCCTTCTAGAGTCAGAACTATATATTGTATTTACTTATTATAATATAAAAAAAATCTAGGTCCCAATGCTTTGCTGATTACCATGGATATGGTGGTTTAATTTAAAAGAATTTGAAAATGACCATTTTACCCTTATATCTATTTGGGAGGTAGCTAACCTTTTGGACGCACAAAATACTTCGCATTTATACTTTGGGTCTTAAACTTATCATTTCTTCTTTGTAAACGTGTTTATGAGGGATACTCATTTTCCAGTTTTGGGTGGGTTAATTTCTCATTTGTAGCTTCATTTAAAATTTTAATCACTCTGTGCTGTGTTATCATGTATGGATTTGTATTTATTTTGGGAATGCACTTGTAGAGACCATTGAGCTTACTTGGACAAATTTAGGGGTACCTTTAGATGGCATATCTGCTTTAACTTTGGTATTACCTCTCTCTCTCTCTCTATCTGCCTCTTTCTAGCTCTATACACTTTTAGAAATTCCACATGCTTGTGCTTATTGCTACTTCCATAACAAAGAACATTTGGATTTCTTTATTTTTACCAAAAATGCCACAGAAATAGCATAACACTTCCATTTCCTTTTTATAGTCCAATGACCTTATTTGAGCTACTTTTTTCTTTTCTCACACAATTTCCTTTTATTCCTTTCTGGCAGTTGTTTTGCGCATGATAAGCTTTCAGTATGACTACTATTCCTCAGATCATAATCCTTATGTCTCTCTTCATTATTGGATATGGGGTGAGACTTATTTTCACAACCTGCTCACTTATTCATACATAAATTTACTGTCTTATGTTGCCTGCATCATTTACCACATATAGGTCCTAAACTTCATGTGGCTCAAAATTTTCCTCATATGGCGTTACTTCCGATTTTGGGAACTGGTAAGTAAATGTAAATCCCCATTTTTTTTAAATACAATATAGTAAAGTAATTACATTACACATGACTATAACTTGGAAATCTTTTGGAAAAAATGGCTTGCTTCCTTGAACAAATGGCTTGTCAGGTAAAGGACAAACTAGAGAAGTGAGTTGAAGAGATGCTGGAGCCCTTAGAGAAGCTAAGGACAAACTAGAGAAGTGACTTGAAGAGCTGACATGGAGATTAGACTTTGAAAAGCATTTGAGGGTATATTATTTTTTATATTTCTTGTATCTAATTAGTTTGTAAATTTTTGTAACAACTTCTATTAATTTGTTTTATCTTTCCATGGAACGATTATTTGTATGATATTAAATTTTATGTAATAGATTGTATTTTTTGTATATGATATTTTATTTTCTATTATGAGATATTAAACACAAATTTAATTTGAAAATTAGTAAATCTATAAATAATAATTTTTTTAACATTTAAAATTATGATATGCAAAAATGTGTGTCATCTTCATTTATGACATGGCCTTTCTTGATATGCAATGCGTGTCATTAACACGCGCGTCGTAAGGTTATGACACGCGAATGCGTGTCGTCTTCCTTTATGACAGGGCCTTCCTTGATACGCATTGCGTGTCGTAAACGCGCGTCGTAATTGCGTGTCGTAAATGAGCGTCGTAAATGCGCGTCGTCTCTCTTTATGACATGGCCTTCCTTGACACGCATTTGCACGTCGTCTGAGCGTTTTACGACGCGCAATGAGCGTCGTAAAAGGCCTTTTTTCTAGTAGTGATTATTCCTATTACACGGAATTACACCACAGTCAGTTCATTCATGAGTCTATACTAAATGCTATATGAAGAGATACACTTACCTAGATCCTTTTACATGGATACTTGTATCTAGATACTATATGATGAGATACCATTACATATTATACGTGTAGATTAGTTCTGTCTATCCTAGTACAAAAGGATATCATATGGGACTAACCATTCCGACACCCAACTGTTAGCAACAGAGGTAATGAACATCTACGGATGCCTACGGTTAATACTTATACTAGAGTACCTTTACGGGACTAACCATTCCTACGCCCTGCTGTTAGCTACAGAGGAAAATGAACATCTACGGACGTTCAAGTTTAATACTATTCGGTAGTCGCGATGTCAGGTTTATCCTAATACAAAAGGATAATACTTATATGGCTATATTTTCCCTATTACTTTTATTTTGTGATACGTTCACATAAACGATGAGGTAGAGTATATATTGCTAATAGTAGTCATACAGGGGAAAAAGCCATATTTGTTACAGCAAAACATTCAAGTCTTGGTAGAAGACTACTTTCAAAACATTCGGGTCTTGGTAGAAGACTACTTTTATAACTAGTAGGAAATATGGGATTTTCTAGGGTTTTCACACTTATATCAAATGTTTCATTCGAAGATTTACATGGCATTCATAACATTTTTCCAAAACAGAGTAATGACACTTAAATACTTATGAATTCACCAGCTTTATGCTGAT